TTCATTTCCCGGCATGAAACAAACACACACACACACGCGCGTACACACACGTGCGTACACACACATGCGTACACACAAACACGCATACATACGCACAGACACACTCGCAATCATTAAAACGAGGTTAATCGCGACTTGTTGTTGTTGTTGTAGTTGTTGTGCTGAAGTTTACATGCATTAAAAGTTCTTTTTGTTGATGATAATGCAATTGTTGTAATACTTGTCGTTGTCTTTTATCTTGTTGTTTGTGGAATGGCAGTTTTTTGAACGTAGTATTTTTAGTTTGGCGAGTTGTTGTTGATGGTTTTGTTGTTACATGTAGATCAAAATGGTGCAGTTTCCTTTCAAGTCGTTCCTTCCATTTCTAGGACTCCAGAAGAATGATTGTTGGATGTTATTATCGAAAAATATATTTTGACCATCTAAGCTACCGAGACAACATCGGTATTTGGAAATGAGGTTCACTAGAAACAAACGCCCGCTGACTTTTTAATAGCTTGTTTTTCATTCTAAAAATTAAATTGGATCCAATATTTGACTATTCAAAGTTTCAATTCGGCGTGTCTCTAGTATATATTTAGCCTGCTGCAGCTGCAGCTGCTGTTGCTGTTGTTGATGTTGTAGTTGTTAGTGATGTTGTGTGATGTTAACGTTGTTGTTGATGATGTCTTTGTTGAGGTTATTGTTCTTGTTTTATTTCCTTTTAGTAACGTTATTGTTGGGATCTTCCAGTGAGTTGACCCCTTGGCTGCATGTTACGATGACTCGAACTCACATTGAAACGTAATGCTCTATATAATGCTCTATATAAATGAGGATTTATTAAGATCACTTGCATGCATTCAAATGGTTGAATTTTCATCGCAAAGTTTTGAAAAAACGAACGAGCAATGCGTAGAAACAGACGAAAGAGCGAACGAACAAAACAACAATCGAACAAATGAATGAACATGCAAACAACCGAATGAACGATCGACCAAACAAACGAACAGGTGAACATACGAACCATGGACATCTTGGATATTTTATGATCTGAACAAGCAAGTAAACAGAAAAGAATCATAAACATTCGAACAAACATACAAACTACGAAATAACTTACAAACGAAGGGCGGACGGGCGAACGAACGAACGAACAAATAAACAAACAAATAAACAAACAAACAAACAAACAAACAAACACATCAAACATATCAAACAAATCTTAATCTTACATCATTTTTATAAAAGTTCACAAAATATTTACTTTTACTACCACTAATATACTACTACTACTACTACTACTACTACTACTACTACTACTACTACTACTACTACTACTACTACTACTAACAACAACAACAACAACAGCAGCAGCAGCAACAACATACGCACATAGATACGAAAACATTTTTTACTCTGAAAAAATTCACGATTGTCATATGTAATGATTTTATTTCATTAGCGAAATCGGGAATGTCAATAAAACACCATTTCCATCATCGTCGTCGTCGTCATAACAACAAGTCTATGGAAGAATAAAAAACAACATTTGATGGACTGACGAAGAAGGTAAAAAAGTAACTACAATCATTACCATGGAAGAAAATATCACGTGACTGGGTTACCGCCACAAATTATCGCGACGTTATTGGCTGACCACAAACTATTGTCATGTCAGCGACAAACCGGCGCAAAATACTTTCAAATGCCTGACCAAAAAATGAAATTTAAACGTGATTGGATGGCCACGACGAAGGATCGCGACGCGATTGGCTGGCCACCACAAAAGATCCTCATCTGATTGGCTGACCACCAAAAATCGCCACCACTACCACCACCACAACTTATTGTAACGTGTTCGGCCAACATTTCAACATCTTATAACAACCCTTTTTAAAAATTTTTAGAATTTTAAAAAGATATAAAGTGACTTTCAAAATATCAATTTGCACAAGTGGTTGGATGTTCTCGCTTGCTATCAAACGCTTTTCGATTCGTGATACCATTGTTACAAAGTGCTATATTAGGGTTTGTCGGTGTTATTTTATATCTTTGTTAATTCATGTATCTTTGCGATTATTAAATCTCTGTGATTATTATATCTTTGCGATTTTTATATCTTTGCGATTTTTATATCTTTGCGATTATTATATCTCTGTGATTGTTATATCTTTGTGATTATTATATCTTTGTTTGTCAGTTTAGTTTTTTAGTATTTTTGTGTCTCTATGCTTGTTAGCATCTGTGTTTTATAACATTGTTTGTTGTTACCTAAATATGTTTTTATATAGGACCCATACTATATACAAGCACACACACACACACAAACACACACATACACACATTCAGCATTTGAATTTGGGTAAATTCAAAGAATTTGATATAGAATTATATAGAAACATTAGCGAATTCAGTGATAGAATGTGTTAGCATTGTATGTAATATGCAAATGAGACTGAATGCTGATTTCATTTTAATATTTGGATAGATCTGATAAAGATAACTATTGTGATACATATATATGATATATATGGGATATATATATATATATATATATATGATATATATATATATATATATATAGGATATATATATATATATATAATTATTGATGAAAATCACAGCATGTTCAGCAGATAGTTGGCTATATAATAATATAAATCACATGCTGTCTTAATCCTATATATATATATTTCTAAATATAATTGTATATATATATAATTATATTTAGAAATATATATATTTATGTATAAGTGTAATTATTTATACATACTCTGGTATTTATAACTATATAATATATATATTTAGTTAGATATAATAATACACCTTTATAATTTTATATAATTTATTTTATATATGATTCTTTTATATAAATATATTTATATATTATATATAATATATTATATTATGTGTATATATAGTATTTTGTTATATAAATATGTATAAATGTATATGAATATATGAGGCAAACTCATAATTACAACGCCTAATATGATTGACATTTTGTATCAACGCGCCCAGACAAAGAAGAGTAAAAGTAAACTCCGCCCACAAACTCTCAGCTGCCAATCAGAGCAAATGTAAACATTAAACATGGCTGCTACGTTGTTTTCATTCTGTCGGCTCGTACGATCGCGAT